AATACGGTATGGCTGAAACATTAATGACAAAGAGTGTTCACAGGAGGAACGTCGCCTGGCCTAAATGAGAAGTGTTTTTGTTATGTAACTAGTGCCTCATAAATATAACATTTAACAGCTTTTGCAGAGAGGTTTGAGAATGCTGTGGTACATGGTTCTTGTTATGAGTATTTTTGCATTTGTGGCTTTCCCCTGCTGTACTGTATATATTCTGCATACAGAGCCTTGAATTTAGCTGAAAATGTTGATAACTACCCATTAAATACAATCACCTGAATATGCGATGTATTTAAGTAGGACCCAAACCTTCTAAAAGGAAAACATGGGCCAAAGGTGATCCTCCACAAAGAACCCCCCCCCCCCAACATTACAGAAATACATGCATTGAGGGATCTTCTTCAGATTCAATTTGCTCGATACACTTTCTGTTGCCAAAGTAAACAAACTACACACACACACACAAATTGGTCTTCCTATCTAAATGGGGACCGTCCATCCATTTCTATGGGAAAAACCCTAATCCCAATCACGACACCCTTAACCCCTACCCATCCCTAACCTTTACCATAAGTAACCAACCCAAATACAAGACTTTTGGCATTTTTATTTTTTTGATTGCATTCACAGATTTTTATAAAACTGAGGTTATCCAAATTGGGACCTCAAAAGATATCCCCAAAAGTAGGGAAATTTCAGGTTTTACTACACTTCGGGGACAATCTGGTCCTCAAATGTGATCTATGCAAACCCACACATACACAAACACACACACACACACACTTATGTGTCTGTATGCATACATATTAGTTTGTGAGGTACCACTTGCTAAATCATGAAGAAATATAGTGACTGCATGAAATGCATATGATGGATTAATGATGAGTGACCTGGTGAAACTGGTTAATTAATACATTAAGTAAGACTGTACTACTACAATATTAGTAGTGTTAGCCTTTGTGGATACTGTGCAATCATACCATAACCATTAGTACTAAAAAAGGCAGGGAACGCATGTATTTTCTATAGGAGAAAAACTGAAATGATTATAAACAGATTTATATACACGGATGAATTTCTCCTTCTATGTTTTAGCTGCTTTCTGTAGCACAGAGGGGCCTCATATTGGACAGTGTTAATTGCTCCTGACGTGACATCACTGTGTTTCTGACTGCCACCCTGCAGAGCTCCTCCCTCTTTCTCATCCACTCTCTCCGTGTGGTGTGGTGTGTTGCAGCCATGCTGGACGCTGCACGTGCCCCCAAAAAGCCAGACCCCATGAAGTCCTCCTGCACCGATAATGGGAATTTAATGCAACACCCCATGAAACCACATAAACGGCTGCTGTGTTCCAGACTGTCGGTGACCGGGGAGGAAACGCGAAACGCAAAGACGAGACAAGGAAGGAGGCCGAAGAGATGGAGCAGGGCCACCAACCACTGACAGCTGACAGATTTGTGCCTGAAACCTGCATGTCTCTCCGAGGGGACAGTGTGCGGCTCAGCAGGGTGGATGGTGTGCTTTAATCAGTAGGTTGATGGTTCAACTTTTGAGGTCAGCTGAGGATTTCACCGCTGGGCCCCTGAGCTAGGCTCCCGACTGCCAAGTGCGTCAGGAACCGTCTGATCCCACTTTCTCTATATTCAGTATGTCATTTTGGATTAAAGTATTTCAATCTTCGGTGCGTTCGCCCTGACACCCAAATAATTTTTCACATTTGGGCACGATGTGCACTTAACCTGACACCCGTCAGCAACCACCTAGCTTACTGCATGGCTTCTGTGCTTGTGCCGACAGCCAAAAATCCCATCCAGTTATAGTTAATTTTGAAAGGATAGCCAGCTGAAGTAAATTATATAATGTGAAAAATGGAAATGGTGATTCTTTAAAAAAAACCTCATTAATGCTAGGTAATCTACAACTGTGTTTAACTTGAGACTTATGCCTGTGTGTCCACCCACCAAATAATGATTACTTTTTAACGAGACAGACACGTATTTCACATACTGACGTGTGAAACCAGCTCCAAAATATTTTGCACCACCTGTCAGAGTCGACTTCCCGACCCGACATCACTGCAAGAAAAAAAGAAAAATCGAAGGAACCAAAGGGCAAAAAAATAACAAAAAAAGTCTCCCAGTGAAACCGCCATTGTGAACTTATGGGATTTTTCTTGACGTCCCACTGTCAGCGTCAGCCATGTCAGAGAGGCGGACGCTCGGCTTGTAGAGCCGCCAGAAAATAGAGGTTAGCGTTTGTGAAGGACAGCAGGTCCTCCTGACACCTTCGGCCAGGAGGCAGCTGTGCTTCTGCCATCCAGCGTTGCTCAAATGTCCTCGGTCCTGCATGCATGAGTGAACAATGAAATGAACTTATTCATTTAATTGCTTGGCAGACTTAGTTTCCTCCTGTGTGCTTTTACAGTTTTCCACTTTGCTGGCCCATTTACTGAAATGATTTATGCTAAGTTCCTTACTGTAGGGTTCTCCAGTCGCTGAGCCACAGTGCCATCTACTTGGCATTCAGCGGATGATGTCTGCTAACTGCAACGGAAAGGGAATCTTGGCTTGCGGATTTCAAAATAATTTCACTGCTTTACTAATAACAGCAAATAAAATAAAAAGGACACCGGTCATGTAAAGGATACTGATTATAGGAAGTGAAACTTCAATGAAATTACAATTAAAACATTACTCAGGCATACATGTAAATGCCAAGGAAACAGAAACATGGTACAACAAGGGGGATGGAACCTTATTATTCTGAAATGTGAGACATTTGAAAAGAGGGAAAATGTCTTCTATTAGTAATTCTCCTTGGGGCTGCTCAAAGTATACAAAGGCTGATGCTAATTAGCTGCTGTCGTGATATTTCATGAACAGGCTTGCGCATGGTCACGGTGACTTTAATGAGCCGCCTTGTCGGGTGTCGAATCGGGGGGGTGCGTTTGCTGGGTTTCCTGCGAGTGGGTCAAGATGAGGGAAGAGCGGTCAGACATGTCGGAAAACAGGCCCCCGGGTGATTAATGGCGATTTTTAGGGCCTTCGCTCTGGCCCTGTGTTTTGGGGAAGGCCACCCCCCCTTCCCCACCCCCCTCAGTGCTTTCATCTCCCGGATCCCATTAATGCACCAACAATAGGAAGTCCCCAGCGGACACGGGACAACAAAGAAACGGCCTTTCTCTCTGCATGCTCGTGATATCACTGGCAGACAAAGGAGAACAATAGAGTGGGGGGGGGGGGAGGGGGGGTGGAGAGAGCATAGAGGGACCCTATGAACCTGAAATATTCTGCTTCTCCTCTCCGGGGCCATGGGAGCCAATAGGACTGTCAATGCTCGGCCGCTGCCTTTGGCGTGGCAAGAGAAAAGGAAAACAACAGCGTGTGTCTCACTTTATAGTGGATTTGGGGGCGTTACAAATCATTACCCTGGAATCTAACATGTGAAAAATGCCAAACTAGTGCAATCTGTAAGCCACAAACATAAAGAAAACAAGTTACATGAGAAATACCACGGCAGGGCTGTCAGCATAAGCCAGAAACAACAATAAACACAAGTCAAACAGAAGAGACCAGAATGGCATGTCTAATGCGCTTCCTTTGCTTATAGTAACGTGGCAGCCACAAATAAACAAACTTGTGAATGGAGCTCTAAATGAAATGGGCCACTTCGGTCACGGTGTGTATTTGACAGATTTCCAGTGCAACAGACGCAAAAGAATACAGCATAATTAATAAAAATAATATTGTTCCTTAAATATGTTAAACTTGGCTTGTTAATGCAAATCAGCTTATATTTTGTCATTTCAGCGTCATTTTTTGAACTGTTGTTTTTTAACACATCAATTTTAGTTACCACTAAATTTATCTGTCCAGTGAGTTGGTCCAGTCGACCCTATAGGTGACATAGGCAGCCAACATATGAGGGGCGTGCAATTTCACTTTGCCTCAGACGGGGGCGCACCGGTGGTGATGCTGACCTAGAGTGCCACATTGGCTAGGACCGGCACTGCCAGTGAGTGCTGTCAACAGCAGTAGGCAGCTGGAAGTCCAGACTCTTACTGCAGCAGAGAAATCTGAAAGAGGTAAAACTGATCACCTAAAAATGAGACTAAGAGAGCTGGAAAAAAAAAACAGAAAATAACGCAGGCTAGGATCTAAGAACTAAACCGGGCACATAAGGCTCTGGCAGATCTTTCTGAACCGATTAGATCTAATGCCATACAGATGGTGATTGTACAAACCAATATATGTTGGAAGCTTGTGTTGTCATGAGTGGGCATAGGAGACTCTGACTTCAAATTGATCTCTGTGTATCAACTGGCTAACAACAACAAGTTATGGCTTTTGCTTTGTGTTCATACAGTGTGCTTAGTTCTGTTTTAGGCCTTTCAGGATCATGTGCCCCATAATAGATAAATATTAAATGTTAAATTCACAGGCCTTGCTGTCTGCCAGCATGGATTTTGAAACCAAGGACATAACTTTGGGTTGAGCATCGTGGGGGAGGGGGGTCGAGGTCTCCACCCATTTAAAGGGGTCCAGCGGATTATATTCACTGGTTTTGATTATTGGGGGTGGGGTAACAACCCTCCCCATCCCCCCATAATATATGCCCAAGTCGGAAACTCTCACTGCGTTCAAGCCGACTGACTTTCCTGCCTGGATGACAACCACCATCATCCTTGCCTGGCATGTGCCTCTGATTCCAGAAATGCTGCATGATGTCGGGAATGTCGCAGCAAGGTCACAGCTGGAGATGAGGGCCTGCTGTGAGCTGAAAAACCTGCCTACGGGGTAAACTACCGGAGGGATTCCCAAAAAGGTGACCAGCATGCTTTGCTGGTTCAGTGCACTGAAAGTAAGACTTTAAAAAAGACAGACTTCTCAAATTAAAAATGTTATGTTCCTGGGAACTAGGAAGGATATTCAACACACAGAACAAAAACAATCTAATGGAACCAGAAAATTATGAAAAAAACAGAGCAAAACAGGGAGCCTGGAACATTTTACAGTAGATAAAAGTCTTTATTTGATAAAAAATAATTTACACAAGTAGATAACCACACTTAACAATGATGTGCTCAGAATACAGATTTTACCACAGGACACAGACGACAACAAAAGTTTTCATTCATACATTCAGTATAAACATGTATTTTTAGCTGATAAATCCAGTATTTATGTGTTGTTGACAAACTGATCTTGTGGAAAAATAACTCTCATTCAGTAAACATCTCTCTTAAAGATATATTTGTTATATTTTATGGTGCAAGGGGCATAAACATGCCCTTTATCAGTATAAATCTTGTCTGTATTAAATGTTGCCTAAGTCCATACTTAAGGATGAACTCTCAGACAGCCAGAGTGGACAATTAATGTTATACAGTCAGTCAAGAGGTCTGGGTTCATCCACTTCAAGTAAAAAACACACACAATGGTTACTGTGCACTTCCCTTCCTTGCCATGATAAGCGTTTTCAGAAAAAAATGATGGCAGCCAGACCATTTTCTCATGTGGTTGAGCTTCCTCTCTGGAGGATTGTGGCTAAAGGCCGTTTCCCACAACCAACCCCCCCCCCCCCCCCCCGCTTCCCTGCCCTGGTTTCCATGGAAACCACCAGCCACATCACACGGAGTGGATGCCGTCGAAGCCGCAGAACTTCCAGCGCTTCTCCAGTGTGGCGCCGACGCCGCTGAACTCCTGCTTGAACATCCGCGGCAGCCGTGTCATGAGGCCCTCCAGCTCCCCTGCCGAAACCTGAAGGGGGCGCCGTCGGGGCTCAGATTCAGGAGATGCATCTATACAGCTCTGTTCCACCACACCATCCATGCATAAAGGAGAAACCGGTTTCATGGACGTCATCCACCACCACTGGTAATTAGAATGAATGAAACCGCTTAAAGCTTCAAACTGATACACGTGGGGTGCTGAGGGGTCAAGGGTCACGCCCCAGAGGGCATGTGTCCCAGTGTCTCCACCTGTGCCGCTCGCTGTCAGACATTTGCAAACAAAGGGAGGCATAATTCTTATTATTGTAGCCTAAAGGATGGCCCACCCTCACCCGTGTAACGACAGGCTTAGCACATTAGCTCTCCCAAAATAGCTCTGCTTTGTGACAAGAATACACAAGAAAACACCTCATGGACGAGTCACGGTTTCCATAACAACAAAAAAAATAAACAGGAACATGTATTGCCTATGCTGGTTTACAATAAGGATTATTTAAATTTAGCTGTCGCTTCATAGAAATGGATTTATACTCGGTGTGCCGTTACCTTAGCGTCTAGCCTCTGGACGTACGACCACAGATACTCGATATTGGCTCCGAAAGGGTGGACGTGGAGGAAGGTGGAGATGATCCCTGTGAAGGACAAGGTGTGGGGGTTCGGTCACACATTTCTGGGATTGAGTCTGCAAGTGGCAGATGGGCGACGTGAATGACGAGGGCTCATGCGGCCATAAAACTTAGCAGCCCAGGCAGAAGGCAACACTCCAGTTGATTACTTTGGAGAGGAAGTGCAGCAGTGCGGAGGCAGGGAACACGGCAGTCTCTGGAGAGCCCAGAGCCAATATTTATTTCCTTGATTTATACGGCGTAACACTGCCAATTACTGGGGAACCTAATTCAATTCCCCCTGCAATTCCCTCCCACTTTCATGGTGTGGTACTTCTCCCCAAGGCAAAGGAATGGGGAGCTTACGGACAATGCATCTGATTTTTAAATGAAACGCACAGCAGCTGTCGTCTGGCTGTAGTCCTGCTCTGAGACTGTGGGTCTACTTCGCCTGGGTGTGTTGCCGTGGGAACACAAATGCAACTTTTTTTTTTTTCCCCTCTCAGCATCGCTTGCTCGCTTTTCCATGCAGTGGATTAAAGGAACGTTTGCGAAAAAGGGAGCGGCAGCACTGGAGGTGTGGAGACGATCCTGTTCCTTCAGTCCTCAAGCTTTTTTTCGTTTTTTTATATATGCATATGCCATGTGGATGTTATCAGGTAAATTAGTAAAAACTGAAATCTAACAAAGCCATGATAATGTCAGAAATTTACATGGGAGATGTTCCATGTATGATTCTGCTATCTGATACAGCAACCAGAGCACTGGGCGTTTCATCCGTTACTGTTTTATTGCGTTTTATCTCTCCTCTGCCTTCTCCTGGAACCACGTTCTTCTTCCCTGCTGTTCTCGCTGGGGGCCCTTAAATCCATCTCTCCCTCCCCCCTTGCCCATAAACAGCACACACTAGTCCAGTCTGTCAGGCTTATGCCGGTGCTGTGTGACGGTGATGTGTATCTGTGTGCGTGTGCGTGTGTGTGTGTGTGTGTGTGCTTATTGCAAATTAAATGGGGGGAGTGTTCTGCACGCGAATCCCATCAAAGTCATTTGAATCCCGGGGGGTGCCAGTCAGGTGCGTGTGTGCTAAAACACACACACACACACGCACATGTAGGGTATACATATCCTTATGGGGACCGCTCATTCCTTTCAATGGGAAAAATGCTAATGCTAACTATGACAACCTTAACCCCTACCCTGCCTTAACCATAACCATAAGCAACCAAACAAAATACAACACTTTTGGCATTTTGAGTTTTTTGATTGCATTCACAGATCTTTGTGGGGTAACTTCTGGCATTAACCTGCACACAGACCAATTCCCTCAACTTATATGTTTATAGCCCCCCCGAAGGCTGTCCCTGTTGCCCCCCACTGGAGTTACCCCCTCCCCCACTGATGCGTTCGGTTGCAGACATAGGAAAAAGTGTGCCGTGGCGTGCCGTTACCGAGCAACAGCGCCTCCTTCTCAGAAACAGCAGGGCCCCGTGCGGTCGGCTCGCCGCTCCTGTCTTGGCCAGTATGGAGGCTCCCTGTGTATCCGTTCAGGCGCTGTGGACACAGGGAGATGCAGAGAGCCTGTGCTCAAGAGGCCAGCCCACACAGAGACTTGCAGGCTCACAGGGAACAGCACAACACCCATCCCCCTCCATCACAGCGCCAGAGGATTCAAACAGCGCCGGAAATCAAGCCATCAGCTGCGCACTGAATCTCAGACATGTCTGCGATGCTTTTTATAGAACTCTCACCTGACAGCAGAAAATACCTCAGTGCGGACTTTTCAAAGCTTTCTCGTAGCCTGCGATGTTCTGAAACCCCCTTAGAGCTTAACAGAATAGTATAAGCCCAACCCAGGAGATACGAGGCAGTATTTTCCATTCCCGAACGTCCGTTACGCTTCTCCGAAAGTGGAGACGTGCCGTTTGCTGTTTCCGACAGGCTCCCCTGTCAATAACGAGGCACTTTCGCGCTTTTTCATAACACAGCATATGCAGTGAAAAAAAAACCTCTTGCTTACTTTCCCTAAATTAGTCCTGATTATTTTCCCTGGAAAACGAGAGGAAACCATACACGCAGAAGCAATTGTATCAGATCTTGTGTTTGTAAAGTTTCATGATTGAGGATAAAAGGATGAACGGAAAATCACAGACTAAAGGGTGCCAGATGTTACTACAGCGTGTCAGAAGCTGACAGAAGGGCGGGACTGTAGAGCAGGACAGACCCACCTTCTCTGACATCTCCATGTGGTTCGCCTCCACGGCATCCACATTCTTCTGCAGCTGCCGACAAAGAAACATGACAGACAAAACTCTAATAGGTAAGATGTACAGAAGACCATCAACCTACTAGATAATAGTATCCATGACAAAATTAAGAGTTAGTAGGGAAATGCCTATACTCATTTCAGCTCATTGGGCATTACAGCCAGTCTTGGTGTGGAAAATAATAACAGGAGGTCATTTGCCGCTTGAATGTCCTGCTCTTTCTGATCATGAGGTGGGGATAGTCTCCCAAACATCTTTTCTCCATCTCACTGTGGTCTGTTTGTGTTGGCTTGACATGTGCTGTTTGGTTTCCAGGGTTTGTTTCCTAATTTCTAAAATGGACCCCTGGTCTCCAGGGTGTAATCCCGCCCACTCCCATCTCACCCAGACAAGCGGCCCTCAATTAGTTACCAGTCAAAATTCTGACTTGTTCGATTCCATGTCTTTTGCAACATATTACCAATTCTGCACTGGGAATTTAATAAATGATGTGAAAACACAGCCAAGGATGCCAACTGAGTTTTCCCACAATGCTTTGCGGGGGAGTTCGCCCTCTGAATGGTGGCTCACCTTTTCCCTCAGGGCCCGGAGCTCCTCTTCCACGCAGCGCTGCTCCTCCCTGGCCCACTCCAGATCCCTCTCCTTACTCCTCAGCTCCTCCTGGAGACTACGGAGCTGCTGTAAGGAGCACAGAGCTGTATGACCTTGAAGAGCTAAGCAGCTTGGGTCACATATGCCTACTTGGTTGGATCATGCTACATCACATAACCCTTTACGGGCTGCCGTCACCAAGGGTGACTTTTGTAGTTTCTCCCATTTATGCAGCCAGATATTTACAGAAATAATTTCTCGATTCAGTGAGTACAGAAGGCATGGGGAGCGGTGGGTGGTCAGGCAGTACCTGCTGCATTCCCAGCATGCTCTGCTGCAGGAACGGCAGCTGCTGCTCCTTGATGGAACCATCCTCAGCACGTTGCATCTTGCCTTGCTCCTGTTTTAGCAGCTCTACCTCATTTCTGTAGGCGTCCAGTTGCCAGCGCAGGCTGTCGTTCTCCTCCCGCAGGGCACAGACCTGTGTGCCCAGGGCTGACCAGCAAGTGAGGGGGGCGGGATTGGCAGGAACACAGTCACACAGTGGACCACCCACATAAACACCTTCCCAAACACTCCTGAGCATTTCCAAATAAACCTAAACACGCCCTCAAACCCCACAAGAGCTTACGGAAATGCTACTCTCAAACAACCTAAAACCACAGAACTCAGACAGCCAGGCTAGAATCTCTCCTGGGGATTGTCCCAGATATAGATCAGTAAACCTTCCCAAAACAAACCCAATAATGCCAATAAACACCCTCCCAAACATACCTGCATGTTATTCCAAAAACCAAAATTTAATTGGAGGAATGAGCTCTAGATTCCCTTTTATTCTATATTCAGAAAGGCATAAAAATATTTTAGATTTGTTCTTTAAAATGAGGAAGGATAGGTGTTGTTTTTACAGGTGCTTTTCCCAAGCAAATCCTGCAATTAAGCTGAAGGGCTTCCGAAGAGTTTTGGTGGCTGCTTGCAGAAGAAACTCTAAATCTCAGCTGCCTGTTTTCCATCTGAAAAGATTTTATCAAAGGCTCCCGACGCACATCATTTGGGACTGTAAAATACCACTTATCTCCATGGGCATATTCGACAGCTAATCTCACGCTTAAAAAAGACTGGACAATTCTTCCGCTTGAGCTTATTTCCACAACATAGACCTGCTATACATCTTGTACTTCAAAGAGGTCGTGCAAGACGGCTCTTAATAACATTTATACCTGGACATACCTGAGTCATCCAGCCGCATTTTCTTGCTGGGGTTTTCGTCTGAGTCATCCTCCGACATCTCCATCTCCTCCTCCCTGCGAATGCCCATGATTTCTTCACTGTGGGCATTCCGCAGCTCCTGTCACACCACAATCAGACACCACAATGCGCACCCTCTTCAGCCGCTGCACAGGAACTAGGTGAAATGTGTACTTTTTCTCCACAGTAAACATATCTTTGGCATTGCAAAAAAAAAAAAAAAAAACAATACGGGAACCAGGAAAGGTAAACAGAGCATGAGTTCTGCCTATTCGCGATGGGCCGAGACACAACCACGGCAGAGAAAAAGGTGACAGAAGCCATCTTCTGTTCTCCAAACTGGAAAATCTCAGTACTGTTCCACTGGGCAGTCTGACAAGACTAAAAACACAGGTCACATCGAGCCAGCTCCATTCCCCTAGCTGTAATCACATTACAGAAAACTTAATACTGCTGCTGTGAAGCCTCATCACCCATGATTAAAATGCTCTAATCTGCTGGAAACGTAGGAATCAGGGAAGGGGAAAGGATATCATAACTTTGTTATCTACAAGCAAACATTTCCCACTCCAACTGCCTATGGCCATATATCAAGTCCTGCAGTCTCTCTGACCTCCATTACTGTTCATTTTTAGCAGCATTTTTGCTTTGCAATTTTTCCGTGCCAAATGTCCTATTTTTGAAGCAGCAGTTTTGCAAGCTATCATTAATCATTAAAAGCAACACTCTACGCTTCAAGACGCAATCTTTGATGGTGCCGAGCCATAAACCGGTCTTGTGTCACAACATTTCACTTCGGACAGACACATTAAGGGGCAATAAACTCAAAGGCAATCTCACAGCGATGATACCTTACCTCTGAGGCATTGCGATTGTAAATGGATTTTGACTCCTGCCATTGACTTGACTTTCACAATTCATCGGAGATTCGATCTCACCCAGTACATGCCCTGGACCTCATGGTCATGCCCCTCCAGATAGCCAAAGGTCAGCCAATCACAGCAATAACAGGCTGTTCTTCTGACAGCTGCCCAGCTGTTCAGTTTCGTTTGATTACAAAATATAACATTGCAACAGGAGAGTTATAATTCAATAAAACAGCCAAATCGCTAATAAGTGTGGTAATGTCCTTGAAATATTTTCTGCATAACAAATAATAACTTCAACTTCAAAAGAAGTTCAATTTTCAGTCTATAATAGAACATATCACAAAATCAAATCTATCAATAATTTATGGTCAATTCAGGGTCCTTGTTGATTGCCATCCTGTTAATGCCGGCGGCTGCTGACAGCATGACAGCACTAGTTACTTTCCAGAAGGCAGCGGCTAATGGCTAGCCGGCCGATGGAGGACCTTCAGGCTTTGAGACCAGTGAGGGGGGCCAGTGAGGGCTACAGGAAATCGAAACGCGAGAGCCCAGAAACCTCAGTGTGTGATGGTGTGTGACCGCACATCCTCACACACAGAGGCCTATGGGTATCAGAACCAGGGCACCTCCACTGCATTTTTTTACACTAAAATCTGCAGTGTGGACCTGGCCGATGGGGTCAGGGTGTCAAGAAGGGAAGAAGAGTACCAACCTCGCACTGCTTGCGCCAAATGTCTATGTTCTTGCGCTGTGCTTTTGAGAAATGGTCCCATGCCTTTTGCCTGGTAGCAGCGGTGAAAACGGCCGCGATCTGCTCAACTTTGGTGGATAAGGAAGTCAGACAAGACAAGCCATTTATGCAGTGCTTTGTACCACTGGGAAAAAAATTAAAAAGATCAGAGACGCCAGAGGCCTCGACGCACGTTCGTCCCGTTGAGCTCCCTGAAGTGTCCCCACCGTCCAGTACTTACATTCCATGGGCAAAAGATTCATCTCCTTCAAGACTGAGGAAGGCAACATTATACATTGGGAAAGATCCGCACTCAAATATAATCATAATATTCGCTAATGTGCTGAGGCAGTGAAGCTTACAGAATGACTTCTCTTCATGCTACTTATGGCGTTTTCATAAATTGAAGTGTTCCCCACATGCAGTGAAATGTTGCCTTCTAATATTCTCTCTTGATTTCGACAAAGCTGAGCAGCACAGTCATGAATCTTAAGCAGCTGGTGTAAGTCACCATAACGGACGGATCACCTCTGTCCCGAGACGGCTGGTTTACCGCTGAAGTGTTTTTTATGTGCAGGTGCATCAGACTTCACAAGTACATGCCTACATTTTCAATCCAATCAAAAGTACAAAATTCAATCAAACTATTGACAGAAGCTGTAAAATTAAAAAGCTAAATAAATAACATATAATGGTAACCAACCAACCAACCAGTTGAGTTCTCTTCTTTATGCTCAACTGGTTGGTTGAAACAAAATCTTGGTCTGGATTTGTACTTTCTGGACCTGAAATGTCCATCTCTGATAAAAACAATCATATCAGATTGAAATATCCAGCTTTTATGTTTACTTTGATCTTAGCACTTGTGTTTAAAAAAAAAGTAGAGCTGGAAAGTCCTGCTTTTTCATTTCATGTAACTTTTTCCTTAATCCAGTGTCGCTGTTTCGTTCGTTTCCGATGTGAAGTCGGGTAACTGATAATGAAGCCGCCTCGTCAGAAGCAGGCGCCTACCTGTCAATACTGACTGGGGCATCAGCGTGAACCTCACAGCTTCCTGTCTTTCTGTACTTACCCTGACGGAGTGTCCCTATGTCTTTCCGACAAGGGGGGGGGCTTCTATTCCTCGTAAGGGCTGCATGTTTTTCAGCGAATTGCATTCTGCTCTGTTTCAGCCTTTATCCACAGAGGAATTCGGCTCACCTAATGGTCCCGGAAAACCTTGTTTCCCAGATTAAAGGCACCCTGACCGTGGCCACCAAGGAATAGAACCCCCCCCCCCCAGTTTCAAAGCAATGCTCCAGTCATGGAGGACCGCTTGGCTTCTGCACTTAAATGAATCTGCTCACCCTCACAAACGATGCCACATCTCCACAAATACACACTGAATGCGCCTGAGTGACTGGAAAATGAGTTTTTACATCAAAAGTATGTAACTGAAAATATATATTAGGCATTAAAGTGGGATTACCTTTACTGATGGCCATCTTATTTTGGAAAATTTCACACAGAATTGTAGGATGGCTCCGCATGCAGTAAATGGATTATGGTTCATGATTCACAGCGGTAACGCGGATCGGGCGTCTCTCAATGGGCAGACGGATTGCAGAAAGCCCTTCGAGCTAAAGCGTGTAATGGCGAGGGGAGCCGGAGCTTTCATCAGAGACCCCACGCCCGTGAAGGTCGCAGGATCAGGGAGGTGGGAGGGGGGACTCACATTGCGCCAGGATGGAGAGCAGGGCGCTCCTGAATCGCTCGCGCGCCTCCTCCATCTCCTCCTCGCGCTGCGCCTTCTCGCCCAGCAGCCGCCGCACGTGGCTGTTCGCCGACTGGATCATGGAGTAGAACTGGTTGGCCGAGCGGCGGCTGACCTCGCCGCGTTCGATCCAGGTCAGCAACACCGTGGAGGCCTCGCTGAACTTGTTGTCATCTGGGGGTGGGGGGCACAGAGCATCTCGTGAAGAACGCCCCCTGAGGACACCATACTCATACTGCTAATGTTTCTGGTGTATTGAGTTTGCAAATCTTTCAGATCTGTGGTCGCCAACCACAATCCTTTAGAAGCCCCCTCCCCCTCCAGTTGGCAAAATATACAGAGGGGACCCCCCCCCCAATCATCAGGTTACACCTCTCTGCATTAGATAGATGTTAGACAAACAGACAGACAGACAACCATAGGTGCCTCAGTCACCCTATTTATTTGTTTTATTTTACTTACATACATTTAGCAATTGGTCCAGTATGTCCTGTTAGAATTACACGCCACCTGGCAAATTTAATCCTGCGGGGCGCGGCATCCCATATTTTTTCTGACAGGAAGTCTCTAAGGCTCAAATCCCAGAATCACCCCTGAGACTGACAGACAGGCATCCCCATGGGAAAACTGTAAATTATTATACACAGCGACGTTTTACATTCACTGTATTTATCAGATGCTTTTGTGCAAAGCAATGTACAAGTGATGCACTCAGCACTCAGCCTTTATATGTAAAATTAATACCTTTAGACCAATTTTGTTATGGCTCTCACAGTCCAGCTAGTCTTTTCCATAATAGGTAATAGATAAATAACACAATGTACAATACAGTTGGATTTCTTCACACACAATTGAATTATAAGGCAGACGTAACCCTTCAGAAGCCCTAACCTGTAGCAGTATCCCCTGTCTTACTGCTGAGTGCCGCACAGCCCCAAACCTCATAACTTGTGATGTAATTATCGTATCGTTTTCAGCTTTTTGAGCGAACGGAGCTAAAAGCTCTTATCGAGCCTGACCCCCCTGTCTCCTGGTGACGAATGAGAAATGGGGAAAAATTCAAATTCAAGAAAAGCAACTAAAACAAGAGACTTTCGGCACGGAATCTCTCATGCTCGGATAATCCATTTCCCACAGGGCCGAGTGCAGCTTATTTTTCCAATTTAAATAATAATTGAAATGCACCGCAGTGTAAGGAAAGGCTCCAGGACCAGCTGGGCTCAGCAGCCACCTCACAAACTGCAGCTCCTTTATAACATGGCTTCCTGACACTGTATTCTTCCACCCTTTGCCCAAAAAATGTACAGATATTTCACAATTATATCCAAAATAGCTGCATGTTAAAAAGTCCAAAGTGCAGCTCTGTATTTTTTTTTTTTACTTAATCTTGATTTCATCCAGACGAAAAGCCGACTATAAAATGTATAGGCATTGAAAATCGCAAACCACCGTATTTCCCTAGGCTGCGCAGCCGAATAAAAGTACAGGTTAAATAATGATTCAATGAGCTGTCTGATGCAGTATCTGGAGATATAAAAAAATGCTGAAATAGCCAATGGAGATTCCTGTCAATTATTCTTCTTGGTCGTGACAAAGAGCTTGAAAGAAATCTTAAGCACACCTTAGTGGAAACACTCCATCTTCTGTAGTAGCATTAACGGTACAGTGTAGGCTATGCTGACTGCATGTTAATGTCACCCCATGGTAGCACTCTGGGACAGACCAGCTGTCACGTTACGGATTTCGTTCAAGTTACGCTGATAATTGGAAGGGAATTAATTTTGCGAGCTGGAATGCTATTAGACAAGTGTAAAAATATCTCCAGTCACCACCAGAGACTGCAGTCCCCGGCGTTATGAAAGGAATGTAAATGTGCTTGGCTCGACACCTTCACCAAAGTCTCCCAGGGCCCCCCTCCCACTGGAACCTCCATCCCCCCCCCATCGACCCTGTCCCCCCCCCCCCCCCCACTAATAATGAATCTCAGCCTGGAAAGGTTATTGATCAGTAATAAAAAAAAAAAACCACCTTATTTATTTATAGGGAACCTGTAAGAGGATAATGGAGATGACTAATGAATTAAGATTCCTGGATTGAAAAAGGCCATCAGTAACTAGGGGATGTTTTAATTAATGTTATTAAGGAAAGCATAAGAATGGCGAAATGCTGTTCAGGAATGTACAGCGTGAGCACAGCGACGATGGGGTGGGTTGGGGGTTTGTGGCAGAGCAAGAGGCACAAGTGAAAATGAGAAAAATAAAATGAAAACTGAACATTGGCGCTGGGAAGGTGGGGGGGGGGTAGCCGCTTATATTGAGGTACAATAACACTTCAGTATCTGATGGCAAAAGCCTGGCACTGGGGTAGTGAAATGACAAACTGATTCCTGTGTGTCTGAGTGAGGCAGCGTTCGGCACTCAGACGCAGCAGTGAGGCAGTGCAGGGCTGCCCGTTTGATCTTAAAACTGGGATTCCTTCACAAGAGCTTTGCGCTGGTTCCCACCGCCAAGCTCCCCCTCGGGCTCAATCAGCATGGCGACGCTGGAGCCCAGGCGCATGCTGAGCGGTTGCGATGGGAAAGGCGGAGAACAGGAACCGGTGGGGATGAAGACCGGGGGGAGGCGGGCGGGGAGATGGAAGGCGTGGCCAAGCCGTCAAGCATCCATCATCCCGATGAAGGCAGACAGGGTGGATTACCACCATTAGCCAAATCCCTGAACCTCAACCAGGGTGTCAAGTGTGAAGTCACATGTGACACAAAAACGGAAAGCATATTCACGAGAGGCAGACAAACTTCAGCCTTTGTCACATGGCTGCTGGTATTTCCAGGCACGTTTCTTATTGTTGTGCCTAATCAAAAAATTGCCATCACATACCCGTCAGTGTGGATGAATTAAATAATACAGTCTTATGTACAAGGGTTACATGCTATCGAGCTTGCAGATGCAATTTTCTTTCCTGTGTCGTGCAACATTAACATCTGACAAATCACGTGTAAAATTGTCATTTTATGGTGACATAGATGTTGCTTGTTCATTAAACCTGATTTGGAACATGAATATTCAATACTAAAACCAGTGGGGAACCGCATTTGCTAAATCTCACTGCTAAGACACACCTATTGATCCAATCCGTCACCCCGTTTAAGGCCAGAAGCAGCAAAGAAAGAACGATAAATCTCTGGTACACTCCGCTTTTCTACACGCTGTATTTCTACTATACATATTTCCTTTCTACATATTTCAGCAGCATCAAAGCAAAGTCAATATGCTGCAAGAGCCACTTCTTTAGCTAGCTCCTATGCCGAGAGGCTGCACATTTTCAAAACTGGGGGGATGAAAGAATCTGAGTATGTTCTTTCCAATAAATTTACATACAGGCTGCAATTATGGTGACATCTGTCCCTAAAGAGTGTGGAATCTGTGCCATTGCTAAATAAGCCACAGCTGACTGTGCATGAACAGCCGTCTCCAGCAAATGTAAAGCATCATCAAACTGAATAAAACCCTGCCATGGGTCATCTAGTCGCAGGCTTTAGCTCAGCACCTATTCCCAGATCAGCAGGCAGGATGACATACCAGTCCAGCAAATCACTCAGCGGACGACGATGCCTGCAGCCTGGGGACACTGGGGTGGGGGTGCGGCTGAGAGAGGACAAATCATGCGGGCCAAGCGATGACAGCCTGGCTGGCTGACGTCATTTCGGGGGAACACGAGGAACAGACGGAGAAAAACAATCTTCCCAGATCATTCGCCTAACTCTTTTAAGGCTGTAAATGCCCCTTTTTCATAACTGACAAACATGCAAAATTTACCAAAAATTGACCCTAGGCCACACACCCCTCCCCCTTCCAGCACCTGCTTTAAAAAAGTCTGTGCACGGCACTGTTAATAGCATTCTTGCATTCTTATGTTTAAGTGTGGGTTGGCATGGTGGTGTAGTAGTTATCACTGTTGCCTCATGCATCTGGGATCAGGGTTCGAGTCTCTGCCATGGCTCCATGTGTGTAGAGTTTGCATGTTCTCCCTGTGTTGTCGTTTCCTTCGGGTACTCCAGTTAGCCTTCAGGAAAGACTCTGGTCACCCTGAATAGTTACAGAAGATGGATGGATGGATGGATGTTTATGTGTTCCTCCAGCTAATCTGCTACAATATCCGACCAGGCTGGTCGGCCCACATAACACCTTTTTCAAACTCTGTCACTGTTAGCATGATATGCTAATGGATCTGATGCGTAGGGGCATTACAGAAATCACCTTTCAGCTTCTCCGCCAGCAGGGCCGCTTCGTGGTCTGAGTAGTGCATTATGGGAGGGGGCGAGGGTGGCCGCAGTCGCTCCTCCTGTACCCTGCGGCGGTGGCGTTCCTCACGAGCCAGCAGTCTCTGCTTACACTCCCACTCGTACAGGTCGTCGCGCGCCTGTGCAAAATCCACGTGTATGCGGCCCGAGTCCTTCTTGTCCGTGCTGGACCCGATGCGCATCCGGTACCCTTGGGAAAAAACATAGTCGCAATCAAAATCAACAATACGATATGCCAGTGAGCCGTGCATTATGGGAGACATAATCTACAACACACCACGATAATCCACGATACATTAAACATGACTTCATATTTCTACTCGTGCTCTGTCCTTGGTAGGAGGAAGTTAAATGTGGAGTAAGATCCTACCGGACAGGTACAGGGCCTTGTCCACCATGAACTCCTCCGCAAAGCGAATGTGGCAGAAGTTCTTCTTGCTCTTGCGTACGGCGATGATCTCGCCGCACTGATCGAAAACCTCGCGTATGATCTCTTCGCTGGCGTTCTCGGGGAGCCCCCCGACAAACACGGTCTTGCATCCTGGGGGGCGCTCCCTGGTGGACGGAGGGGGGAGATCTGAGGGAACAAGGCAATAAGGAGAGAATGCATGGTGAAAAGAGGCAGGAATATGAATGAATAACTGCAGGGTATGCGGTAAATTTCTGCATATTTTATGAGACCTGAGAAAAATCCAGCCGCACTCTCAGCTTGCTCGCTATTGACTAATTATGCCGGCTTTTGCCTCAGAACATAATTAGGGTCCTAGCTGGAGGTTGTAAGTCTTCAGCTGCAAACCCATCTATATTGTTCTCCCTCTTGAGATATTTCCAGAGCTGGTAAGTTTGTAGAGCAGCAGGGGCAGATGTATGATGATGTTCACGGGGACTTACTGGGGTTCTGTGGGAAGAGCGTGCAGCTCTTACAGTGGATTATCTCCTTGACAACGGGCATCTCGGCTGGGACTGGTGGGGGCGGAACCAGGCTGATGCCCGCCAACATTGGGTTGATGGGGGCAATAATACTCATGCTGGGGTCAAAGCTCTGGATGCAGATGGAATCTAGGAAGTAATAGGGAAGATAGCATGGGGCAAATCTTACAATGTTCAAAACAGCTGTGCCCTTTAACTGCACTAATGGATAGTAACCAAGCAACCATGGAGTACTAAGGTAATAATAAAATAATGCCCATCTTTCTGCACAGCCCCGGTGCAGGATACTGTTGTAGTCTGTCAACCTGTCAATGTCAATCACGTCAAATGGACAACAGGGAGTGATATTAATCTGGACCCTATCTCAGGGGATACAGGGGATGCCTTGGATGGGATGCCTATCCATCACAGGACACAAAAACACACGACACACTCCACGCACACTATGAGGAATTAAATGACGCATTAAAACAGACAATTAGCTCTTACACTTTACATTGTATTATGGACCTTCAGATAAAAGAAAAAATATGATATACATTAAGCTTTACGGTAACTTTGTTTCACTCCACGACAGTCTCCTTTTATTTAGAGCAGCCCCTCTATTTTGAGTTTGTCTTGCCTAACATTAAACCCGAAAGAAACACTCCAAGAAACAGGCTGTCAGCATGTCTTCTGAGGATATTTTAAGGCGTGCTAGCGTAGGTTATCATTAATCAGCACCAAATTCTCAAATACCAAGTTGTGCCACAACTCTGCAAAACTCATTACGATGAAAATGAAATGGCAATAACAGGTGAATAGCACATTAATGCAGTCCCCATTTATCATTTCCTTTTGCATATTTTTCCAGCGAACAGGATTCAAGACCTTGCTCATTCCTCTGGCGACAGGCTCCGCGATGTCTGCCAGAATATGAAATACTGTTTTAGTTCCTTTTATTACTGTGATTTTTCTTCGCTCTTTCCAGCACAAATGCGCCTCCAACAGCTGAATCCCACCTTCGGGAAACAGCTAGCCCATAGTTGTCAGAGAGGTGAGATGTTAGCGGTCAGACGTTCCAGGAACATTGCTGTGATGCATGTGCCCCAACTTGTGCTCCCCCAAGTAAGAGAGCAGGGCTCCTTTTTCCACATCATATCCATGAGCTATAATTACCTACGACAGTAGCTTCAGAGGTATAATAGGGAAGGAGCGAATAAAAAAACCATTCCTGGATTACTGTATAATTATGGAACAAGACCTCTGATATCACCTTCTGCTCCGTGTTACACTTCATGCGTCAACCTCCAGAGGCCCCTTGCTTTATTTCAAACTGCAGCTCATAATTATCTGCTGAAAGTCAACAGGGACTCAATGCAGTCAAAACACAAGTTATTTAAAATCCACTCTAGATGATGGATGAAAGATAATAGCAGACCCTGTCCCACCTACTCCTACCTAAGTCAGACACCTACACCTGCAGAGTATGCATGCTGTAATTACCCAATGTGCCAGGTTTCAGCCTTAGTTTTCACATCTACAAAACATTTGTAAATCGTGAGCAAGAGTCTAACAGCGGCCCTTAGAGCAGAGTACTATAACATGAGAAAATCGAAGCACTGATTAATGTAGACTGATTGACTTACTTAGTCATTAGGCTCCATGGGATAATGTTTTCTATTAAAAATTAAAACAGTTCAATAATGGTTTATGGAAATTAAATTTCATAAAGGTACTGTGATTGCTAAAATTCTGATTAATTTAGATTTCTGCTAAATTCTTGGAGAATAATGCAAGGCTGACATTGTTTTTACCTTTCAATCTCCTTTACCCAGTTCATACAATGCAACATCAAAAATAGCCACTTGCTAAGAAAAAGAATCCACTATCAATCTGATGTTCTGCAAATCCTTTAGAAAACTAAAGTCGGAATACTCAGTCATATAAATTAAATCTATAAATAAATGGGAACTTCAATAGCTGCAAAACCATGAATTTGAAAAGTACTGACATTAATTTATGGAATAACATAATTTTACATAATGTTGCTTACTGGCCCGAAAATATCATTTCCAGAGTGAAGATCAAATATTAATATTTCAGTTGAATCTATTTTTAGGACTCAAGTAAGTTAAACAAATGACAGACTAACAGGAAACTAGCAGGATTTTTTTCTTCAATCTTCAAATGATGTTTGATATGCAGGCAGGCAATTTTGAAGGAGAACATTGATCATTATTCTGATGTTTGATCACTTTTAGGATTTTTCCTAAACAAAAACCTCCACAAAACAACTATTGGAGAATCATGTTTGCTTACTGTCCATCCTGTTCACTCAGCTTAATAAGGGCCTGTACATGAATCAATTGTAAGTGTGAAAACAGAACCAGCTTTAGTGTTTCTTCCCCTAAAAGCATCTTTTAAAGCTGCCCTGCAGAGACACTTGTTCTAGTATTTCCTGGTGAGTGATTACCGGAAATTCAAATAATTCAGATGTGAACTCCCGGTGCTGGCTGAAAGAGTGTGACAACCGCATAAATATGCATGATCTGGCAATCTGTTCATGAATTTTAATCTGAGCCTAATTCGCCTCAATCCGCAGTGGCTCCCTTGTCCCTTGTGACGGTAATTACAATAAGATGCATTCCCAGCGAAGCCTTCATTTACATGAGTGGCGAGACATAAACGCAGTCAGGATATGTGAGGCAATCACATATTAGCTCAGCACAGCCTGGGGAGCTTGTTGTCTCTATTGCTGTTTATGTTCAGAATTCAGTTTCCTCTATTGCAGAAACAAATGATGAATGGTCCAGGCCACAGTAAAGTATGTCTGTCTGTAATATGCTCACTTGATTAAGCTGTCTAAAAAAAGTCACAGTGTCATAATCAAACGTGATCTTTGCTGGCTGTACCCAAGCAGTGTCACATGGTTACGCCATCGCAAGCAAGGGGCAAATAAAAAACTAAAGAAAGTGGGGGGGGGGCATGTCTTCTTCACAGGGTGAGCTCCTAAAAAGTGCCAAACTGCAGAGGCAAAATGCCAATCACATGCTGAGATGGAGGAGAACACTTCTGCTCGCAGAGAAATCATGCGTGTCGGTTTGTTGAAGTCCTCAAATCTTACGTATCTGCTGTCAAAAAGTGCAGAGATAAGATGCCCAGAAGTGTTTGATTGGATGGTTGAGCTAAAAAAAGCAGTTTATTTTCCATGGCAAGAGACAGCTCTCTAAAAACACCTTCGGGCATCGGTGCAGGTGAATTTCCTCTGCTGCGGTGCTCCTGAGAGATTATAACCATGCACATAACAACAAAATATTGCTCTAAAAGTCGCTGACAGAGGCCCAGACTCTTCAGCACATTCTCCATTCTCTAACTTTAACTAACCTGGCTGCAGGTCGTCACTAGCAGGCGGGACAGAGGAAGCGTGCCACTTACCTGAAACCAGTGGCTGCCCGGCCACGCCCATCGGCACGATGCCCAGATTGCTCATGGCCGTAGCCCAGGCGCCAGGGTCTGCTACAGGCACGGCGACATGGGCCTGCTCGGCTCCCAGACTGCCCATCCCGTCCGCAGCTGCCGGAGAGACACACGGAAAGAGATGCCCAAGTCGCACAGCAGCATCAAGAGAGCTCCATGAAGACCAGCTCTGGGAGCTACATGTCGAAGCTTGGGTGTGAGCTTCAGGGTCTGGTGAGGGGAGGAAGCTGGATAATAAAAACCGGCCAGGGATGATGCCAAACTTCTCCCGGGGGAGGGGGGGGGGGGCTTTCACCCCTCGATAGCAGGTGTTACTCTTAACTCCTCGTATTACTGCGTGCCTGTAATCAAACCCTCAGAATACGCAGGAAAACGGGCAGCAGAAGGCGAATGTGGCCAATGTGCTCCTCTGCTGCTGCCCCCACTTTAAAGTGACACATGATATAACTGTGTAACACAAGAGAAAACAGGAACCAGAGCATCCTTCTGCACCCTTACTGGATATCACACGTAATGTGACAACGTAAACACACCAGATAGCTGGGCTCCTACCTGATATTCACCGCAGTTCTGTGATTAAACGGTTCTAAAGCTGTTCAATAGGTTATAACTTACAATATGATATTATTAAATCTCATCAATACATTTACCTTTCAGAAATATGGTTAATTTTGGGACGTTCAGGACAATATGACTCCATATACTGTTGTTCTCGGGCAACAGTAAGTCAGCTTCATTTGAATTCAAGCATCCTACAAGAAAATATTCAGACATCGTGCATGGTAGATTAGGTGTACGTGTGTTTACTGCACCTAAACCAACAGTACAACACAAAACACTAGTGTTATTTATGGCCTGGGCTCCGAATGCACGAGCCAGTTCAGACTATTAACTAGCACCAGAGACAGGCTGAGGAGAGTTTTGAGAGTCGACGCAGTAAAGGAGCAGTCTATGGTAACGAGGTGGTGTCGGTGATGCAGGCCGTATGCTGTGCATTACCGCTGGACATGGCCGGTCTCATGCGTTCCTCCTCCTGCCACCTCCGGGTGTTTGCATCAGAGCCCGCAGCTGTCACAGGACAACAGGAGACAGGTGACGAGGTGGGAATGATGTGCTCTCAGAGGAATGGTGCCATCGTCACTTAGGCACACCTGGAAATGAAGGGGATCGGGGTCAATATCGGCTCATTTGGAGCTGCAGCAGAAAGTCCAGCATCTAGGTCAGGGGTACTAAATAAATTTTCCCCATGGTCCAAGTCCCGTCAAGGTACACTGCCCCTGCCCCTGACAAAATTTGCCGGGGGGGCAGGGGGGTGGGATCAGTAACCCTGATCTAGGCTATGTGTATCAGCAAGGCAAATTCACTGAAATAACAAATCCACAGAGGCATTAATAAAAGGCGAGTCAGCAGCCTGAGGTGTCCTGTTACTGGCTGCTAGAAAGCGTGCTGCAGCACATACACAAGTCTGCCAGAATGTCAAATCCTGCGATGCTAATGGTGTTGCATGGTCCGCACCCACAGAGGACACCCCACGTCCACTAACAGGCACACCCCCAAGCCATGTCGACGTCAACAACAACCGGAACAAGCTGGGCTGACGATTTGCCTCTTTAAAATTATGGCAAACATCCCCCTTTTGACTGTTAAATCCCATAAGCTAAGTGCCATCAGAAAATCAAATATGTGTGCAGCACAGCAGCAGAACGGGATTTGAAGCCAGGGCGTTAAATTGTTTCACTTTGTGCACCATTCCAACAACAGCAAGTGGGAATGCAGCAAATAACCGCTGCATAATCTAACAGGCCGTGAAATCCAGGACAGTTAGGTGCTCCTAATTCTACAAAAAAGCTGCAGAAATAACAGCTAGTGGGCAACACAAATGTACCTCATACCCTGCCCATGGACAAAGAACAATCTTAGTCCAGCTGTTGAACACATTAAGTATCCAGACCAGCTGCCTCTAAATAATTACACTTTTTAAAAGATCCAGCAAGCAGCACTAGGGCCTCCATCTGTAACAAGCAGTTAGTCAGCTGACAGCACGGGTTCAGGCAATTTTCCTTCCACCTGCTCCTTGTTTCCTCTATTTACATAGGAGAGTGTTTCTTGTATGCATGCCCATTCATCCCAGACACATGATCCATCCTGTGAGAGTCACAGTCCTCTGGTTATACTGCATATAGTTATTCTGGTTATATTGCATAATCTGTAGACTTTTATTTTGACACCCTGTTTAGGAAGCTTCTGATGTATGATGTCAAGGGTCATTGATTAGATTAGCAACACATAGTTTCTAATCTGATTTTCAATTAAGTTAGATGTAACAAGAAATTCCTTTGTTTAACCTTAAAATATGTATATATGTGTTATGTATACATTTTGAAGTGTCAATAGACTGCCTACAGCTTTGTCCCGAGTAAAAAACAGCTTGAGGGAAGAAAGTTTAAAGAATAGCATGGCTACACATCCCAATCACTTTTAAAGCAAGCACCCCAAAAAGGGAAATATCCATCATGAAGAGCTGATCCACTTTCCCACATTCCTCATGTCAGAGTGTCGTTCCTGAAGCCAAGCAGCTTTCCCGCAGTCTATAAAAAGCAGCGTGGAGAGGCAGTGTCCCATTTCGTCCATCTTCTCAAGGTGGTGCCAGCACAGGCCTGGCCTGAATCAGGGTGACCTGGACACCTCTCAGCTTTTCCTGCAATCGCTGCTGGATGGTTCACTACTTCACATGCCACTCTCCTGCTTCTGCCCACTCAGCGCAAGCGACGGAGCATGGGCACAAAATCCCACAGTGTGCTTTAGCTCTCTTTCAAATGTCATGAAATATTCACTTCATAATCCATGTAGCCTTAATTATTTATGAGTGCGTATGACATCTTCAAATCACGGCATCCTGCTCTGATATCGGTGGGGTGTCTCAAATAAGGGGTAAACATGAGCAAAAAGAAAAGCACCCCAGCAATGAAAATCAATGTGATTTTGCAGGTTGACCTTCAAATGAATATACATTTTGCCACCAGAGACACAGCTGTTAAAGGCATCTAATGTCACCTAATAATGCTTAATAACATCAAATGCTGTGTCTGTAAGCAGGATGATGCACTGGTGCTGAGCGGTTAGTATTGTGTGGGGCCTGCTTGTTGTCCCAGTGGTTTCCACCCGCAGTCTACAGCTGGTCAAGTGTGCTGGTACCTCAAAATCACACATCCCTGACGATGTGAGGCCACAGTGCTGCCCACTGATCCCCAAACTAAAGCAAATTTACAAAAATTAAGAAGCAATATTGTAGCTTGAATTATAGGTATCCAGTTATTGTAAAACTAATCAACAAAAAAATTACATAATATGATATATATGAAATATGACAAACACGGAATAAAACCTTTTTTTTAAGTTATGACATTTAAGAAGGTGAGCCACATTTTGTTCAAATTAAATAAGAGCGTTTCCCAGCATGAGACATCAGGGATGGTTTAAATTCTTGTCCACACCTCATTGGCCTGTTCCATCTTCATGAAGAGAATAGCGTGCTTAGAGAGCCCCGACTACCTGCAGGTGCTCATTCCAATTTGTTGTCTCGAGAGGCAGCGAGAAAGTGAGAGTGAGGGACAATTTGTCTCCGTTATCAGTCTGCTCAGGATTATCCCAGGTGAACTGAGGCCACAGAGGGACCTCGCAGCTGAAGGAAAGAGACCCTTCAATGGGGGGGTGGGGGGGGGGGCAGG